AGTGCCTATGGCACTTGACTGCTAACCAGAAGGCTGGTGGTTCAAACCCACCAGCCACTCCTCGGAAGGAAGGTTGGGCAATCCTACTTCCATAGTGATACTGCCTCGGAAACCCAAGGAGGGGTCGCTATGAGTCAGGGCCGACTCGACAGCAAATAACAACAACAACATACATTTATGTAACCATTCTCCTAATCAAGTTAAAGAACAGACAGGCAAACAAATATTCCTTGTGACTTTTTATAATCAGTCCTTTCCATACCCCACCCCAGGTAGTCACAACTCCAATTTCCATTACCATGCATTTGTTATCATTGTTCTAAAACTTTATAGAAATGGAATCTTAAAATAAGTCCTCTGCTTTCTTTCACTCAGTGTGTTCTTGAGATTCACACATTTTGTTGCCTGTGTTTATAGCACATTATTTTTCTATGGCTAAATAATATTCCATATAAATATACCATAATTGTGTCTATCCACTCACCTGCCAGTGGTCATTTGGGATGTTTTCAGTTTGGCCTATTATGAATGATTATGGTATGAACAATTCTGTAAGTGTTGTTTTTTGGGTTAGACTTTTTTATTCAATATATATTAATTACACTTTGATATTTTGTAGTACACAATCTATTCCTTTTCCATATCTAGGATACCAATCATGAGTTTGTTTTGTGCATACCTTCCCAAAATGACCAATACAGATCTTTGAAGAAGCAACTACTGGGATCCATGGGTGGATCTAACTCTAGTCTTAACACGTGATCACACATTAAGTTGTCTTTAATGACATAGAAAAATAAATGATGGTCGTGGTACACGATGAGAAGGAGGCCCAGTCATTCAGGCAAAAATTTCTAAGGTTGTTTTGCATCCAATAAAAAAGTGAATGTCTCAGGAATGTTATATTAACTGAGAAAAATTCCTTGGAAATATCATCGCCTATTTTTGACAGTAATTAAGGACAATAGCCTTCCAAATAAAGTGTGTGTTGCAGGGGTTTTTTATTTTAGTTTAGTTTTTGAGACTAGCTTGGGAGGAAAAAAAAACACCTCACTGCCATTGAGTTGATTCTGACTCATAGCAACCCCCTTTGGGTTTCTGAGGCTGTAAATCTTTACAGAAGTCATTTGCCCCATCTTTCTTCTGTGGAGAAGCTGGTGGGTTTGAACCACTGACTTTCTGGTTAGCAGCCAAATATCTTATCCACTACACAAGTGGAGCTTAGCGATGCAAATATGATGCTTGAGATTGAATAAAGCAGACTTTTTAAATAACTTTTTTTGAAAGATTCACTCTACAGTGATCTTTTGAGGGTTTATGTCCTTTACATTTTCCCATACTTCTATACCACCAGTGATTTTTTTCCTATGATCTAATCAGAGCAGTTTAGAAATAGAGGTTTGTTTGTTTGTTTTTAATCACAAATAGATGTTAAATTTTAAAAAAGTAAAGCTTGTGTTTTTTCATTTTATTAAGGACATTTGAAAAGGAGGAATTGTCATTTTCTGATTTTTGAGTTAAAGTAGAAGTAGGAATTTTTTTGTATACTTTGTTTTTTTAGTAGTAGTAGTATTTGGAAAATAGTCTTTTCATAAAGCTGGCGAACGAGGGTGGTTTCCACATTTTCTTCCTCTAGTGGCATATACTTCCTCCTGGCATCATGTATTTTTCTAATTTAGGAGCGTTTCTCTACGTGTCAATCTCTTTTCTTCCAGATGTCTGTGGTGTGTTTTGTTCTCCATATTCCTGCAGGCAGCTGCAAAGCCTGAGCAGCTTTGCCTGCACTGAGTTTTCAAAGACGCAGTATTGGGGTGCTTTGTCTGCCAGCATGGGGTTTCACAACATAGAAACAAGCTGTTGTTGTTATTTGCTGTCAAGTTGGACCTGACTCATAGCGACCCCTTCTTGTGTTTCTGAGGCGGTATCACTATGGAAGTAGATTGCCCAACTACTGTGTTTTAAAAAAAAAAAAAAAAAAAAGGTGTCACAGAGTCGACTCCGACTCCTGGCTACTCCTTATGTGTCAGCATAAGTATGTGTTCTGTAGAGTTTTCAGCTGAGTTTAGAAGTAGCTCACAAGGTCTTTCTTCCAAGGTGCCTCTGGGTGGACTCAAACGTCCAACCTTTCAGTTAGCATTAACTGTTTGCCTTACCCAGGCACTTCAGAGTACTATGTTAGAATGTTTAATTTCAAATAAACATCATCTATTTTTAAACAACTGTACTGTTGTTCAGATACATAGTTAGTGGGACCTTAATGTAGATGCTGTTAAAACAGTTCCATCGAGGTGCTCATGAGCAGTGGTGTTGGAATCATGCTGTGTTTGTTGTTTTTAGGTGCCGTTGACTTGGCTCCAACTCATAGTGACCCTACATACAACAGAACAAAACACTGCCAGGTCCTGTACCAGCCACACAATACTTGCTATATCTAAGACCATCGTTGCAGCCACTGTGTCAATCCATCTCATTGAGGTCCTTCCTCTTTTTTGTTGACCCTCCACTTTGCCAAGCATGATATCTTTCTCCAGGAAATGGTCCCTTCTGATAACAAGACCAAAGTAGGTGAGATGGAGTCTGGCTATTCTTACTTCCAAGGAGCATTCTGGCTGCAGTTCTTCCAGGACAGATTTGTTACTACTTTGGGCAATCCATGGTACTTTCAGTATTCCTTGCCAACACCACAACTCAAAAGCATCTACTCTTCTTCAGTCTTCCTTATTCATCGTCCAGCTGTCACATGCATATGAGGTGATTGAAAAAACCATGGCTTGGGTTGGGTGTACCTTAGTCTTCAAAGAGACATCTTTGCCCTTCAGTACATTAAAGAGATTTTTTGAAGTAGATTTGTCCAGTATAATATGTTGTCTGATGTACTGACTGCTGCTTCCATTGGTGTTGATTGTGGAACCAGGTAATATGAAATCTTTGACGATTTCCATCTTTTTTCCATTTATTATGATGTTGCTTATTGGTCCAGTTGTGAGGATTTTTATTTTCTTTATGTTGTAATGTAATCCATACTGTATATGGTAATGTTTAACCTTCATCAGTAAGTGCTTCAAGTCATCCTCACTTTCTGCAAGCAAAGTTGTGTCATCTGCATATCACTGGTTGTTAATGAGTCTTCCTCCAATCCTGATGCCATGTTCTTCTTCATATAGTCCAGCTTCTTGAATTATTTGTTCAGCATATGGATTGAATAAATATGTTGAAAGGATACAACTCTGACACACTCCCTTCCTGATTTTAAACCATGCAATGTCCCCTTGTTCTGTTCAAACAGCAGCCTCCTGGTTTATGTACATGTTCCTCATGAGCACAAATAAGAGTTCTGGAATTCCCATTGTTCTCAATGTTAACGTAATTTATTATGATCCACACAATTAAATGCTTTTGCATAGTCAATAAAACAAAAATAAACATCTTTCTGGTATTCTTTGCTTTCACCCAAGATCCATCAAACATCAGCTATGATATCCCTTATTCCACGTGTTCTAAATCCAGCTTGCATTTCTGGAAGTTCTCTGTCAGTATACTGCTGCAACTGTTTTTGAATTATCTTCAGCAAGATTTTTCTTGCATGTGATATTAATGGTATTGTTCAATAATTTCTGCATTCTGTAGGATCACCTTTCTTTGGAATGGGTACAAATACGGATGTCTTCCAGTCAGTTGGCCAGGTAGCTGTCTTCCAAATTTCTTGGCATAGATGAGTGAGTTGCCTCTAGCATGGCATCTGTTTGTTGAAACATCTCAATGGATAGTCTATCAATTCTGAGCCTTGTTTTTTGCCAATTCCTTCAGTGCAGCTTTGACTTCTTCCTTTAATACCTTTGATTCTTGATCATATGCCACCTCATGAAATAGATGAACATCAACCAGTTCTTTTTGGTACAGTGACTCTGCGTATTCCTTCCATCTTCTTTTGATATTTCCTGCATCATTCAATATTTTGCCCATAGAATCTTTCAATATTGCAACTCAAGGCTTGCATTTTTTCTTCAGCTCTTTTAGCTTGAAAAATGCTGAGCTTCTTGTTCCCTTTTGATTTTCTAACTCCAGGTCTTTGCACATTTGATTATAATAATTGACTTTGTCTTCTTGAGCTGCTCTTTGAAATCTTCTGTTCAGCTCTTTTATCTTGTCATTTCTTCCATTTGCTTTAGCTACTCTCCATTCATGGGCAAGTTTCAGAGTCTCTTCTGATATCCATTTTGGTCTTTTCTTCCTTTTGTGTCTTTTTAATGACCTTTTGCTTTCTTCATATATGATATTCTTGATGTCATCCCACAATTCCTATGGTTTTTGGTCAATAGTGTTCAATGCATCAAATCTATTCTTTAAATAGTCTCTATATTCAGGAGAGGTAGTGCCTAGGGCACTTGACTGCTGTTACCAGAAGGTTGGCAGTTCAGAGCCACCAGCCACTTCTCAGAAGGAAGATTGGACAATCTACTTTCGTAGAGATACTGCCTCAGAAACCCAAGAAGGGGTCACTATGAGACGAAGATGACTCAACGGCAGATAACAACAACAACAACAGCATAATCAAGGTCATATTTTTACTCCCATGGACTTGTTTTAATTTTCTTCAGCTTCAGTTTGAACTTGCATATGAGCAGTTGATGGTCTATTCCACAGTCAGCTTCTGGCCTTGTATTGGCTGAAGATATTGAGCTTCTCCATCATCTCTTTCCACAGATGTAGTCAATATGATTCCTGTATACTCTATCTGGTGATGTCCACATGTATAGCTGCCACTTATGTTGTTGACAAAAAGGGTATTTGCAATGAATAAGTCATTGATCTTGCAATATTCTGTCATGTGATGTCTAGCATAGACATAGTAAACACTATGCTGTGTTTAGCCAGCATTTTCCCACCCCTTGTTTTATAACCTCCCTTTCTTGCCCCCTATCCATGCCTCAGGGCATGATTTATAATGACTGATAACCTTTTTGTAAAAGCAAAACCATATTTCCTTTTCATGATTTCAGGTGGATGCACTGAGATTACGATTGGAAGAAAAAGAATCTTTTCTCAATAAGAAAACAAAACAGCTGCAGGATCTCACTGAAGAAAAGGGGACACTGGCTGGAGAAATTCGTGACATGAAAGATATGTTAGAAGTAAAGGAAAGGAAAATCAATGTTCTTCAGAAAAAGGTGAGATTGGGATTTGTTAGAGTAGAGAAGCAGAGGGTCATTTTCATTCATCACTGTTTTCCCATTTCAGAGGAAGTTTTACCTGTGTGAGAAATGATAAATTATTTTTAAGTAGTTTAGATTTAGGAAATAGGGACTTTTAACTTATTAGTAGAGTTTTAGCATGACCTGATGACTTTTCTTTTCATTTGGTTCCCTAGAAACTACATTGTGATGACTTTGTATTTTCCATCCTTTTCCTTATGTGTCTTAGATGTATTTGATGTACTTTTTTACAAAATTTTAGTGGATCCTGTATTTCCAAACCTGTATACATTTTTGGAGGGCAGAAGTGGGGATGTTTTTATACCAGTTATTTAACTGGAATTAATGAGAAAATGTGTCATACTTCCCAATCACAGTGACCTAACACAGAAGGTACTTGACCTGGTATTATGAGTTGAAATACACCTTCCCCAAAAATATGTGATGATTTGCTGGCACTTGTCCCTGTGAATGTGATTCTGTTTGGGAATAGGACTTTCCTTTTGGTATAAGGGCATACCAGTGTAGGGTGAGTCCTAAACCTAATCATTTCAAAGGGCCAGAATAGACAAAGAGAGAAACAGACAATGAGTAATACCAAGGAATGCCAAGGATCGCTGGCAGACACCAGAAACTACGAGAGAAGCTCATAGAAGGAATTGACAAGGTTGAGACTCTGATTTGGACTCAGAACTGTAAGGAAGTAAATTTTTGTTCTTTGAAGCTGCCTACTTGTGGTATTTGGATGACAGCCACACTAGCTAATGAAGACAGCTGGTTAGAACCCTGCTCTCCTTTCTTCTTTCAACAGGTCCTTCTCTCCATGATTAGGGACCCTGTGTTTGGGATTGTATTCTAATTTTCTTTTGGGGGAATTCCATGCAGTTTTGGTGGGAATGTAAATCCAGGTGTCCTTCCTTCCTTAGCCAATGGGTAGGCAAGAAGAGAAAGCAATGTTTGCTCTTAAATTTTAAGCAAAAAGGAAAAGTGCATTGGAAGGATATAGAGCTCTCAGATTAATAAGAAGATTAACTATGGAACCTGGGTAGGGACTGAGTAGGCTACAGTGGTTGCCAGCAGGTGCCAGGTAGCCAGGACGCTGTCACTGATGGACACTGCGCTGGGTACTCATGCTACAGCTGTGGGCTAATAGACTCTTTCTGGCCTCCTCTGAGTTTCACTTGGTGCTATCATGTCTCACCTGGTTTATATCAATAGCTTCTTAATCATTTTGCCCGCTTCGATCCTTCCTCTTTCTACAGCCTATTCTTAACACAGAAGCTGGAATAATGTTTTTGAAATATAAAACAATTTATGACACTTTATGATTAAAACTACTGGTCAGGATCAGCTACATGATATATGTGTCCTAGTGCAAAATGGAAATGCAGGTCCCCCAGATTACTAAGAATTTCAAGGTAGTAGTATTATTATTGTTAGGTACCGTCTTGTTGGTTCTGATCCAAAGATTCCTTGCAACAGAGTAGAATTGCTATTGGGTTTTCTAGGATGCAATCTTTTTGGCTGATCTTTCCTGAAGCTGCTGGGTAGATTCAAATAGCTATCCTTTCTGTTAGCAGCCAGGCACTTAACCCTTGCCGAACATTAAACCTAGCTCTGGGACCTTCTCAGCATAGGCCCTGTGGAATTGCAAAGGTTGTACTGCCATGAAGATGGCTGTCCCTAATGACTTCCATCCTCACTCAGACTCACAGTGGAAATCCACCCAGTGGCCTGCAAGACCTTGCATGATCCAGGGCCCTATAACGCCTTTGACTTCCTGTCCCGCTGCCCTCCCACTTGTTCACTGTCCATCAGCACCTTTGCCCTTTGTGTTCCCTGGAAACTTTGATTTGACTCTTGATGTACCCTCAATGGGGCCATTCTTCTTCTGATCCTGTCCAATATGGAAGCCATGAGCCTCATAGGACTATTCACCTGTTGAAACGTGCCCAGTCTGATTTGAGATGTGCTGTTAAATGTGAATTTCAAAGATGCATTACAAAAAAGAGAAAGAAAGTACAGTCTCATGAATAATTTATAAATTAATTAGATGTCTATATAAAAATATTTTGGATATATTGGGTAACTCACATGTTACTAAAATTATTTTCACTTGTTTCATTTTACCTTTCTAATGTGTCTACTAAGGAGCTCTGGTGGCACAGTGCCTAAAGCATTTGACTGCTAACCTGAAGGTTGGTGATTCAAACCCACCAGCCACTCCACAGAAGGAAGATGAGCCATTCTACTTCCATAAAGATTTCCTGGAAACCCAATGGAGGGTCACTATGAGGCAGAATGGACTCAGTGGCAGTGGGTTTCTTTCTTTCTTTTTTTGTAATGTGACTAATAGAAAGTTAAAAACTGCTTGTGTGTTTGCATTATGTTTTTACTGAATAGTGTAGCTCTTAATATCCACCTGGATTGCGCCTTTGCCTCTTTCAGATTTCTGCTTAATACTGTTTTACAGATGCCTTTGCCTATCCTGCATACTAAAAAATAGCATGACCACCTCCACTCTCATCCATTATATTACTCCATTCAGTTTTATATTTCTAGTGCCTAAGGCACTTGACTGCTAACCAGAAGGCTGGCAGTTCAAACCCACCAGCCACTCCTCAGAAGGAAGGTTGGGCAATCTACTTCCATAGTGATACTGCCTCGGAAACCCAAGGAGGGGTCGCTATGAGTTGGGTCTGACTTGATGGCACATAACAACAACAGTAACAGTGGCACTTACCACCATATGTCAAATTTGTATATATTTTTTTTTAATTACTCATTGACACTATTGAAATATAAATTCCAGAAGAGCTAGGCTTTATTTTTTTTTTCCCTACCATTAGCTGTTCAGCACCCAGGAGGGTGGTGTTGGTGTTGTGAGTTACAACCTTATGTATAACAGAACAAAATGTTGCATGGCCCTGTGCCATCTTTATGGTTGTTGGTATGTTTGAGTCCACTGTTCTGGTTACTGTGTGGATCTGTTTCATTTATTAGATGTTTAATAAATATTTGTTGAATGAAAATATGAATGAATGAGTAAACTAATGAATGACTTTCTCCAGAGTTAAAGTATTGGCCAGAATTGGCCGGGTCTGTATCACATGGCCACCCTCTAATGTCTGGAAAACTCCTTTGTGACTTTGACTTATGGACAGAGCTCTGCAATGATGAAAACAGCAATTGGTACTTGCTTGCTTCTGTGCAGAGGCTGTGATGACATTATTGATGAATTCCTAATATCTGTAATCCCACTTGCTCATGCTCTTGCCCTTTCATAAGTGAAGTCTTCAATCTTGCCTAGACTCTGAGAGCTACCTAGTCTCCCAACATACTCCTATTCATTTGAAGTCAGCCAAAGTTTTAAGCAGTAATCCACCAACAGAATGATATGGCTCCTTTTTAAAAAATAGTTAGAGCTAGATTTAAACCAAATTATGGTTTGAACTGTTATCAGACAGTTCAAAGTAAAGGTTCTACATATGGTTGGCCTTCTTAGGATGTCTGTGATTTGATGGATTGTATTATTAGTTTCTATCCACATAGTGACAGACAATATCCTGGTGGTTAGATTCCCCTCTCACAGCTCCAGCAAATTGATATAAATGATTAAAAGAGGTCAGAAATGATCAAGGACCCATGAGTCAAAGCAGCTCTCTAGGACAAATGGAACCAACAGAGATACAGTTGTAGTGGCAGTTCTAATAGCATGTGCAAAGAATTCAATTAGAAGACTCTTCATTTCAAACCTGTAACATAAAATAATAAAAAAATGTTCATCCAACTTGCTTATGTTGAATATGGTTTACTGGATACTCTAATATGCTCATTATGTGCACTATTTACTTACTTTTGATTACACCTCTGAAGCAGGAATAATTATTAGACCTAAGAAACTGAGGGATAATGAGACTTGCTGTTGTTGTGGAACTCGTCCAAGGACACACAGCCTAATTTTTTGTCTTTTGGAAAATGGAATGATGTGATTTGATACCAAGAGAATAAGCCTCATTTTCCTCTTGACTTCAGTTTTCATGAGGATGATACCAGGTATGTGAATGAATTCAGTAAGAGCACCATAGTTGTTCATTTCACTGGGAGTTAGATGAAGAACTCTCTTTCTTGAGGAATAAATGCAACGGTTTTTCCTGTGAAGCTTTTGGGATGGCACTTTCAATGCATATGACAAATGACCACTTTTGCAGATGTGAATATTTTGCAAAATTTCAATCTTTCCCCCATAGCCAGACTGAGGACCAGTAGGTTTGGGAATAAGTTTGAAAATTTAGAACAAAACTGGAATTATTGTATGGCTCCTTTTGTCAGCATGATCATGATTTCATTTGTTTCAGTCATGTAGATAATAAATTAGAAAGAAAATAAATTGTGGTGATTTGGTGAGGTTGCTTCACAAAGTGTTTACCAATCCATATAGAGAGGAAATAAACCACTGGCAACATGGTGAAGGGATAAGGGCTCTATTATACCTGTAAAGTACAAAAGAAATAATCCCAAAGAAGTGATGTGCACATTTCAGAAAGGGATTCAAAATGCAGAAACAGTACAGAAACTAATGAGCCAGTGAAACATGGATAGACTTGGGGGCTGGGGACTCCTTGGAGTCTCTACCACATTCAGCATTATTGGCTGTTTTAGGTCAGGCCTAGATTGGAAGAACATAAGCTTTGGATTAGAATGTGTTGGCATGGAAGAATAATAAACTCATGTCAATGTCAGAGGTGCAGTATTACTTAATATTTCTTTCTTGTAGACTCTTTGGCAACAAGTACTGTGTGTTGATGCCAGTAGAACTGGGTATCCTCCTTTCACAGCCATGTTTAACCTGGCAAAGCTGGGCTTGCACCTCATATCTGTCAGCTCTGTCTTCAGAGCCTGGTTCTCGGAAGTCTTGTGTAAGCACATGTACAGGTCACATGCCCGGGCAACAGGATGGACTAGATGCTCTATGC